ATTGGATGGACTTTGTTCTTTATCCAATTTCAGAATCTCTATTAGATAGATGAGTTTAATCTATTTACATTTATTAAATTGCTGATTTATTTGGACTCATTCTATCATCTTCTTGTGTGTTTTTTATTTACCTTGCCTTTTTTCTTTTCTTCCTTTGTTTTCCTTTCCTCCTTCTATGTGCTGAGTTTCCTTTGTTTCAAATTTCTTCTTTAATTTTTGAAGTTAAACATTTAATTGCTATTCTTTTTGTGGTTATTACTTTTTTTTTTGAGTTGGAGTCTCACTCTGTCACCCAGACTGGAGTGCAGTGGCCACTCCCGGCCACCACAGCCTCGACCTGCTGGGCTCCAGAGATCCTTCTGCCTCAACCTTCCAAGTAGCTGGAACTACAGGTGAGCGCTACCACACCCGGCTATTTTTTGATTTATTGTAGAGATGAGGTCTCGCCAAGTTGCCCAGGTGGATCTCGAACTCGCGGGCTCAGGCAATCCACTCACCTCAGCCTCCCAAAGGCACAAGATTACAGGATGAGCCACCGAGCCCGGCTGTAAGGACCTTTAAAACAGCTCTGTCCAGTGTAGAAGATAGCCAGGATTGACTGAGCCTGCAACTGTGTGCCTGCCAGTCCCAGGCATGGCCAGAGGCGTACTTATCCCCTTCCACACCTTCCACTTCCTTGTTCCTCCACCTCTTCTCCTAACTCTTCTTCCCCAAGTCCTAACTAGCGTCCACCTCCCTGCTCTGAGGCCCATCCTGGTCAGCCTTCTCTGCGGTCTCTCCACTCTGTGCTCCTCTTACCCCCACGGCAGCACCTTTACGACAGAGAGTCTCAGATGGAAGGGAGCCCCAGATCTCTTCCCCAGTAACTCCCCATCACAAGGAGCTGTGGGCTCAGCGTCACGCTGAGGGTGAATGTCTGAGCCAGGCCTGATGACAGGGTCTGAGGCTCACCCCACCAGACCCCTGTGTGGCCACCATCCAGGCTGGTCTTGAAAGTGAGAATGTCTGGTCTCCTTGGCTAGACTGCATGCTCTTTGGGGACCCTGGTCACACCTGACGCTTCCTGATCTACCCACAGCTCGATACAGAGAGGAATCCACAAAACTCTGCTTCTACAAGCGACACTAAAAACCTCCAAAACTTCCGGGCTCGGTGGCTCAGCCTGTAATCCCAGCACTTTGGGAGGCCGAGGTAAGTAGATTGCCTGAGCTTGCGGGTTCGAGACCCACTCGGGCAACTTGGCGAGACCTCGTCTCTACAATAAATAAAAAATTAACTGGGCGTGGTAGCGCACATCTGTAGTTCTGGCTTCTTGGAAGGCTGAGGCAGAAGGATTGCTGGAGCCCAGCAGGTCGAGGCTGCGGTGGCCAGGAGTGGCCACTGCACTCCAGTCTGAGTGACAGAGTGAGACTCCAACTCAAAAAAAAAAAAACCCTCCAAAACTAATGGACACCTGTCTCTCCTCCAGAAGAGCTCAGACATGCTAGAACGAGGACAAATATCTGTCGTCCTTTGCACAGTCATTACAAGGCAAGTAATCTTGTGGTTTTATTGCCACCAAACCCACATTCTGCAAGTTTGGTCCAGTGTGAATGTCTGGACCCAGTCCTTTGTGGATCCAGGATCAAGCAGTCAGTGTCTTGGCAGGGAAGGCTAGCATTGAGGTGACAGCCAGGCCCGCCAGGCAGTTTATTTTCCCAGACAAATTCCTCAAAGCCTTCTAGATGTGGAAGAGTGTCTTGAGCTTTCTGGGACCCCATGGATACAACCTGTGGACTTCAGAGTGGCTGCCCCGGCACAATCACACAGTCCTGGGTTCCACTCTGGCTGAACCACTTCCAGCTAAGTGACTTAGGTCACTTAACGACCCCATGCCTCAGTTTCCTCATCTGCAAAACGGGAGCGTGAGCTGCCCTGCAGTGTTACTATAATGAACAGAACTAAGATATGAAAAGCCCCTAGCACAGTGTCTGGCACAGAGAGGCCACACCGCCACTACCATCATCGTCACCTGGAGGCGGTAAGGACTCCTTCGGTTAGGGACCCCTAAGCCTTAACCAAAGAAAACACACTCCCTCCTTACCTCCCTGCACTGTTTCCTCCACGTGTTATGGCATATGCCATATTTACATATTTATCAGGTTTATGGTCTGCTTACCCCATTACAATATAAGCCCATGAGGAGAGAGAATTTCATCTGATTTGTTAACTGTGGTATCCCCAAATTCAGGCCCTGACACATATTTGTTGAATGCATGAGTGATACACGACTCATTAAATCTCTTCGGAGGTCTTTGAACTATAACGCTGCCTGAATTAAGATTCACAAGTCCCGGGCTGGGTGCAGTGGTTTATGTCTGTCATCCCAATGCTTTGGGAGACCAAGGCAGGAGATTCACTTGAGGACAGGAGGTCAAGACCAGCTTAAGCCACATAGCAAGACTCCATCCTTACAAGAAAAAATGTTTAAAAATTAGACAGGCATAGTGGTGTGCACCTGTAGTCCCAGCTACTCATGAGGCTGAAGACCCCTTGAGTCCAGGAGTTCAAGGCTACAGTGAGCCATGACTGTACCTGAGTGAGACCCTTCTCAAAAAAAAGAAAAAGATTCACAAGTCCCCTAGAAAACCAAATATAAGCTCAGATAAATGGCAAGAAAGAGGCTCCAAGGGGCAGACAGCTTTGTGTCTCAGAAGAGGGGGTATGACTCTCATTAATAACGTCCTGCCCCAAAGGTGCCTCCTTCCCTGTAGGTGAGGAAGATCCCTTCTCAAGACAACATAACAGGCACTAGAAGAACCCCTCTCAGATGCAAAGCACCTCCAGCAAGTACTGTGTCACAAGCTTTTCTTTCCTTAACCTCTTGGCTAGAAATCACCATGGCCCAGGTTTGGAAAGCGCAACCACTTCGGCTGTGAGCTCACAAAGGCTTGGGTTCCAGCACTGGCTCCGCTACGTTCCAGCAAGACCCTCAGCTGGTCACATCCCCCTTGGAGGCCTGAGTTACTTCTGTTGTAGAACTGGGAAAGGGTGAAGAAAGGGATCTGTCTAGGTCCCTTCCCACTCTGGCACCGCCTTAGCTGAAGTTTATAGGGAATGGCCTGGTTTGTGTTGGCAAACAGTCAAGAGTCCCAGTGGGAAGCCAGCAGACACTGCATAGAGCCAGACCAGAAAAGGCCAAGGTAGAATGAAATCAAGTCCAGTCTCATCTCTTCCATCCACGGCGCCCCATGCACCCTCACTCCAGCCACATCCAATACCCATTGTGCTCTCTGGCCGTGGAGCCTATGCCCATGCTGGGTCCTCTGCCCAGAACTCCCTCCCACACGCCCCAGAGCCGCATTGCCATGCACTTCTGCAGACCCGCTCAAGTGACCCTCTGCCCCAGGCAGAACTGTGCACCCCTGTGAAATGAGGAGAATCTTGTTGAAGCTTGTCACACAGGACACCGGCCCTCGGCCGAGGCAGTCTGAGTCAACATTTTGGACAAGTGGGGGTTTTAAAGGAACCGGGTGAACTTCACTGTGGGAATCTGGGGGCGAGGCCTTGGCTCCAGCTCTCAGGGCTCCGCCAGGATTGCAGGGTTGAGGACTCATAGCGGGGATGAAACCAAGACCCGCCGATGCCCATCCATTTGGCCACAACCCCCAGAGAAGGGCACTCCCAGTAGGTAGCTTCAGGGGATCCTTGCCTTCCCTGCAGACTGCCTGCCCAAAGATGTAATCTCTATTTACTTCCCTTCTTAGTAATTATAGGTTTGAACAATATAATATCAATGTGATCATAAATCTTGTGATTTATGTAACTTTTGTAATGCATCATAAACGTCCTTTACTCTGTCACTATCTAAATGTAACACGCAGCTGTAACTTAAGTCCTATACAATGCTCTGCTGGTCACATGGCTAATATACAGGTACCGACAACTCTGGACTATAAATGTGGAGTGTGAGGCTTGAAGGGTGGGCAGAACCATTTGAGAAAGACCTCGAGTCCGGCTCTGCTCCCTGGATTCGAATTCAGAATTAAACTGCTTTCTACCAGTTCCCTACCCCTTGATTTATCTGTATCAAGGGTGAGCAGCCAAGTGTTACTGGGACCATAAAAGGGACAAGCCCTCCTGTCCCCTCTCCCAAGCAGTGCAAAGTTCCCCAGGCCAGCTGATGCCCCCCACCCGCCGACACACACACACACTCTCACA